AAGAGATTAAGATCCTGACTATACAGCCAAAAAGTAGGCAAACACAATCACATGAGCAGGGTAGCCCGGTTTTCTGTTAAAGGACATGCACTCATGTTCTCAAGTCTGGAGCAAAGACTAGATGCCACTATTTTTAGCAGTCCTCAATTCAAAAGTGGTTGCTAGTACTTATGAATGTGACTAAACAGCTTTGTAGATCTATGATTTCCCCTGGCTCTTTGGCAGTCATCCTAATTCAAACATAGAAAGCCTTAAACTAATAGAACTTTCAACCTGTGATTATAAGAGGGTTACTAGAAGAAAAGGGAGGAGAGGGAAAACATTTTCTTTCTCTCTCTCTCTCTGTGTATATATATCACACACATATATGCATATGTTATATACATATACATACACACATGCCAATTCAATTACTTAGGAAATGTAAAACAAGTAAAAAGAAATAATGCTTCTCATAATCACAGACTGAGTCAATGTTAGCATCAGATAAAGTAACCTGGGACTTTAGAATCAACCCAAGGCTCTATGCAATTAGACCATTCTCCTTAAGGAATCACATACTCAAAGAGGAGGACCCCCAAGAAAACAAAACCCCATGTGTTTATGCAAGGAGAAATCGTAAGTTGAGAGGAAACAAGCTTGCTTCTTTATCAACCAAGATATCATACAGGTTTTTAAAGAGAATGTGAAGAATTAATTCATTAAGCCAACACAAAGGACCCCAGGAGTAATATAGTCCCCAATGCTAAGTGCCTCCTCTTCTATAGTTCATTACCTTGAAGCACATATTCTGTTCCAGAAAAATTCTTAGAATTCTTAGAATGTAGGTCAAATAAATACCCACTGTTCTGGAAAGAAAGTATAACTAAACCTTTTCTACCCAACAGGATATCCACTACCATTCTCAATCTTTCTGAACTATCTTCCCATATTACTAACTGTATAGAGGGTAAGAATTGATAAGCAATTGGATTCATATGCTGTATGTTAAGTTAAAATGAAACATTTCTTCAGTTAGATTTCTTTTCAAGCACTAGTAGCACAATTGGTAGCACCTTCACAACAGGCTATAAGAGAGTAGGAGATACTAACACTCATTTTAGTTAAGTTCATCTGCATTCTTAGCAGCCTTCATGAAAGAGAATGTCCAGTAAATCAGAATTAATCTCCAGTGGACAAATGGAGTTAGATAGCTACATACACTAAAGTCTCTTGAGGGTGATAATCTATTCACTATGGGTGAGGCACTCAGCATATTCCTTTGGTTGACTTTTCTTCCTCATGATAGTTATCATGTGTTTATCACTATTACCACACCAAATTCCATTCTCAATATCCATTCCTAGCAATTCTCCTTCCCCCACTCTGAGTACTGGGACTTGAACACCTTAGCTTTGTCTGCTCAAGACTGGATCTCTACCAATTGAGCCACAATTTCTGCATTTGCAGTTAATTGGAGGTAGGAGTCTGGAGGACTTTCTTGCCCAGGCTGGCTTCAAACCTCAAATCTCAGCCTCCTGAGTAACTGGGATTAAAAGGTGAGCCTCTGACACCTAGCTCTTTTCTACCAAAACCATGTGTACAGAATCACTAAATATAGAGACATAATAGGTAGAGACATAATACCTTAGCACTTCTATTACTTTTGCCAGTAAGGTTTTCTGTCCCTTACCAAGCCTCATTCCTATCCTCAGTTTCTCCTATCATAAACTCCTAACTTCTCACTGTCTCTATAAATGTCACTACTTTTTTTCAATATGACTCTGCCTCTCTCAACAAAGATCCTGAGTTCATTTCTTGTAATAACTAGACACTTCAATTACATTTAAGAAACTCTCTTCAGTTAAGCTAGTCTGATAGTCTAGCCACACATCCATTTCTCCTCAACTGCATTTTTGTACTTCCAAACAGTCCCCTAGTCATAGAATTATTACATTTTAGACCTTAAGAAAAATCGAACCTAACGTTTCTCCAATTTTAAAAACTACATTTTGCTTCATATATTTTAACATGCGCTAAATCCACTTTACAGCACAATCTCAAACACACATAACTAAACCACATTTGATTTAAAAATATTATCCTTAGTATATGAACACTGAAAAATTCTATCCTATTCCTTTTTAAATAAAATGTCAGGTGTCATCTACTAACTTGACTTTACCTAACAGCACGATGGAACCAGTAGTTTGGGAGGCTTAATCTATAGAGCCCAAACTTACCACTCACTGATAAACTCAGCAGTGAGGTAAGTTTCCCACCCACAAGAAACTTGTCCAAAAAAATTACACTTGGTCTGTCTGACCAGTGAGTGTGGTTTCCACCAAAAACCTCTCTACCTAACACAGTGACTTACACCTGTCATCCCAGCAACTTGGGAGGCAGAAATTAAGAAGATCAGGCTCAAGGTTTGTGTAGGGGAGGTTAGAGGGACCCTATATGAACAAAACAAGCTGGTTGTAGTGATACCTGCTGTTATGCCAACAAATAAGTAGGAGGATTGCTGAGGTCAGCCAAGCACACATGTGAACCCCTACCTGGGGGGGGAGAGGGGGGAGAACTAAAGCAAAGTACTGGGGGTGTGGCTCAAGTGATAGGCCCTGAGTTCAAAAGCCAGTACCTCAAACAAACAAGCAGCCGCAGCAGCAACAAAACCCTCTTCTACCAAGTTAACAGCCAATCAATGGCACTCTATACAAAACTCTCAAGACTAGTATCACCCCCCCCCCCCATTACTGGCCTCACATTTGGCTCCACGTCAGCCCCTCAAAGTCACTGCTCCTCGGTCCGCGTGCCCTTGCGGTGGCTGCTTCATGGTCGTTCGCTGCGGTCAGAGTCCCCTGCCAGTCACTGTCCATCTATAGGCCTCCAGAGAGTCATCGCCCCGCGGTCACGGCCCCTCGCACTCACGGCCTCACACTTCCTAGGTCATGGTCCCGCCGCAGCCTCCGGCCCGCACCTCCCAGCTCGGGGGTCACGGACTCCCACGGGCCGCCACCCCCGGGTCACAGTCGCCTGGCTGTCACTGTACCTCGGTCACAGTGGCCCGCCAGCCCCCGCTTCCCCCTCTCGCTGTCACCGACCCATTCTTCAGTCACAGTCTCCCCTCAAGCTGAGCCGCGAGTACGTGCAACCCCGGAACGCTCACCGCTGCTCGCGCGCCCTCGGCTCCGCTCCCGGCCGATTTTCTCGCAGCGCCGCGTCACCCACCCGGGAACTTGAAGCGGTTGCGGGGTGACGCCCCGGGAAGGCAGCTGACGGAACAGCGGGCCGGAAGTCCCGCCTGCTTCCCGCCCCCTTGTCAATCCGACCGCTTATCCCTGAAAAACACGACCCTTGACGCGATAGTTCCGCTTCCACCGCAGCTCCCCGGGGGAAGTGACCCGGCGGAAACACGCGAGGCTGGAATCAGGGCACGCCGAGAAGACGCCTCCTCTTCGTGGGGTGCAGGGGTGGGCTGGAAAGGCCTCTGGCCTTGGGGTGTGCGGGGCCGCCGTTCCGGCCCCAGTGATGGCGGACTTAGAGCTGCCAGCCTGCGCCAGTGCGCACACTCTTCTTGCTATGCTGGGCCTGGTTGGCACTCCCGAACACCCGCGCAGGATCTCCCGCAGGCGAGGGCGGCAGTGGGCTCCAGGACGCTTGTGGGAAACACTGGGAGGAACGCTTTCCTTGGCCAGGTCCAGCCTTTGGAGGAGGCTTTCTGGTTTCCATAACGTAAGGCAATGAAGAAATATGGAAAAGAATTTTGGATGCGTTCAGGATCTTTTTGGGGTCTACATGCTTGACTTGCGAGTGGCTAAGAAAGGATGGTACATGTGTGCGTCTGCTCGGAGCTTCAGAAAGACCTCCAAATCTGAGCTCCTCCTTTTTGAGTTGCAAAAAGGTATTTGAACAAGTGCCCCTAATATGGCCAGCTAGCTGGAGAAGACATCGGGCCTCTAAGGGGAAGAGGATGACTAAGATAGTGGGAGTTGTAGAAATCTACAAGGCTGGGGCTGGGAAGGTGGCTCAGCGGTAGAGCGCTAGCCTTGCATGCCTGAGGCCCTGGGTTCGATTCCTCAGCACCACATAAGAAAAAAGCTGGAAGTGGTGCTGTGGCTCAAGTGGTAGAGCGCTAGCCTTGAGCTGAAGAGCTCAGGGACAGCGCCCAGGCCCAGAGTTCAGGTCCCACGACCGGACCAAAAAAGAAAAAGAAATCTACAAGGCTTAACGAAGTTTTAACTTAATTCATAGCTTCAGATATCTCAGACCCCGACACTAGCCAACTCTGGAGATGCTGATGGGCATTTAAAACAAGCTAATAAGCTGTGTAAACCACAGGATGGCAGTTACTGAACAAAAACTCAGCGAAATTCAAAATATAAAGGAAAGTTTGATGCACAACCAAATTCATCTTTGTATTTTTATAGTAGTGCAAAATTTGAAATAGTCGCTCAATAAGGAAACAGCAAAAATACCTATGATATAACTTAATGGAATAAATGCAACTATTCTGTACTTCCCAAAATCCTAACAAAATGACATAACTGCGTGTGACATGAGATGTGCAATTTTTCAGAGGACTACAATGTGTATATGATTTTTTAACTCTGCAAATAAAAATCCAAATGTTTAGAGTTGATTTGTTTAAACAATTAAAAGTTTTCCTGCTTTTTTCTGTTTTCAAAATATGAGTACATATTAACATATTAAAAAAAAATACAAGACCTTGGTCTGGGAATGTTGCTTAGTGGTAGAGTGCTTGCCTAGCATGCGTGAAGCCCTAGATTTGATGATTCGATTCCCCAGTACTACATAAGCAGAAAAAAAGCTGGAAGTGGCACTGTGGCTCAAGTGGTAGAGTGCTAGCCTAGCACAGAGAGGCTCATGGACAGTGCCCAGGCCCAGAGTTCAAGCCCCAACTGGCAAAAAAAAAAAAAAATATATATATATATATATATATATATATATATATACATACACATATGTAAATATATATATGGCCTAAAACACAAAAGATACTAGTTGCTGAAGAGCCAACTTGTTTTTTATTTTGTCAAGATATTTAACAATATAAAGAGTTCTTATTTCTTCTTTCCACCTTTTTCAAAGATTCAATAGTAGAAACACCCAAATGCTGCTACAACACAGAATAAACTGTCCTAAAAAAAAAAAAAAAAAGAACAGAAAACACACATAGAAATCCAAAATGTTAGTACGAATGCAGAAATAAAGGGAAACATAGGCAACTGAAATGGACATCATCCCAGACAGAGCTTTGTCGATTTTCTTTTTTACTTGTTAGTGCCAGTAATGGGGCTTGAACTTAGGGCCTAATACCCTTGCTTAGTTTTTTTCTTCTCAAGACTGGTGCTCCACCACTGGAGCCACACATCTACTCTGGATTTTTTTAATTAGTTAATTAGAGATAAGAACTCTGATTTGTCTGCCTGGGCTGGCTTTGAACAAAGCTCCCTGTCAGACTTCAGTTTCTGGAATTGCTAAGATTGCACACTTAACCCACCAGTGCCTGGCTCTTCTTCTTTTTTTTTTAATTTTATTAAAGTCTCAATACATAGTCCACATTGGCTTCAAACTCTAAATTCTCCTGCTTTAGCTTCCCAAATGCTAGGATTACAGGCAGGAACCATATTGGCAGCTCTTTATGATATTTCAATCATAAAACCTTCCTTCTTCAAGAAATAAAGCTTTCCTAGGTCTCTTAAGTATAACTACAGAATTGCTTACTAAAGGGTAGATGGAGGGTAATTAAGAGAGACTGGATGTGATCAAAGTAAGCTATACACATGTACATGTATGGGAAGATCACAATGAAGCCCATTAATATGTTAATATGCATTAATGATTGTAATATGAGGGACTGGGCTAGTGCAGAATGATCAAGAATTTAAAGCCAGCCTGAGCTACATGGTGACTGTTCTTTAAAAATAAATAGTAATAAGGTTAAAAAAATAGAATCAGCTTGAATCAGGTCTGGTATCCCTATGTTAAACAAGATCCCTAAACTGGACTGCCAATTTTTGGAAAATCTACTTCCTAATGTTCTTGATACAGTCTCAGAAAGATCCAATGAGCTAGCTAAAGGCATAGAATTAGAAAGTGACAGAGCTGGAAATAGAACCCTTTCTCCCAACTTAAGCCCTCCAGTTTCTGTTCTATAACAGATCATTTCTGGAAACAGTATAAAATAACAGCATATAATTAAAATACATAAAATATTTGTGCCAATAACTTAACTCATGCTTAAATGAACTCTGTTTTTAAAGATTCATCTTTATTTTGTTAAATTTGAGGAATGGCTTTGAGATAGAGTAATTTTATTAGTTAAAGAAAATACAGCCGGGCACTGGTAGCTCATGCCTGTAATCCTTGCTACTCAGGAATGCTGAGATCTGAGGATCATGGTTCAAAGCCAGCCCAGGCAGGAAAGACTGTGAGACTCCTATATCCAATAAACCACCAGAAAACTGGAAGTGGCGCTGTGGCTCAAATGGTAGAGTGCTTGCCTTGAGCTGAAGAGCTGAGGGACAGCGCCCAGGCCCAGAGTTCAAGCCCCATGACTGACAAAAAAGAAAAAGAAAATATAGACGGGTGCTGGTGGCTCATGCCTGTAATCCTAGCTACCCAGGAGGCTGAAATCCAAGGATCGAGGTTCAAAACCAGCGATCAAAGTCAGTACAAAAGCCAGTAAAGACTGTGAGACTTATCTCCAATAAACCACCAGAAAACCAGAAATGGCACCGTGGCTCAAGTGGTAGAGCACTAGCCTTGAGCTGAAGAGCTCAGGGACAGTGCCCAGGCCCAGAGTTCAAGCCCCACGACTGACACACACACAAAAAAAAAAAAAAGAAAAGAAAAACAGAAAGAAAAGAAAATATAACTTTTGTTTAATAAAATCCAAAGTCTTTTGTAACTTAGTAAGGTGATTTGTTCAAATGAACAAATATGCAATTAAAACTTTACTCAGGGGCTGGGAATGTGGCTTTAATGGTAGAGTGCTTGCCTAGCATGCATGAAGCCCTGGGTTCGATTCCTTAGTACCACAGAAAAAGCTGGAAGAGGCACTGTGGCTCAAGTGGCAGAGTGCTAACCTTGAGCTAAAGAAGTTTAGGGACAGTGCCAAGATGTGGCAAACAACAACAACAACAAGAACTTTAACCAGCTACTAATCAGGATTATCAGAATTGGAGTTTAGAACAGTGATTTATAAGGCAGATGACAAAAAGATTTTAACAATACTACGCTATATAAGTAATTCACTTTCCCTAAATTTAAATCTGAAATTGAACTCTGCTATCTCCTTACTATAAGCAGCATCCTGAGTTTGTTTCAGTAACACAAGAAATAACAGTAAAATCACCTTATCCAGAGCCATCTAAGACAAATGCCTGAAACTGAAGTATCCTCACATCGTGGGGAGGAGAAGGGGAGAAGAAGGGGTACTGGAGCTTGAACTCAGAGCCCGAGTTCTGTCCCTTAATTTTGCTACTACTTGAGCCACAACTCCACTTCTGGCTTTTTGGTGCTTAATAAGAGTATCATAGACTTTCCTGCCCTGGCTGGCTTCTATGTTCCTTAGATCTCAGCTTCTTGAGTAAAGAGGAATTCAGGTGTAAGCCACTGGCACCCAGCTGATACCTTACATTTTATTAAGTATTAAGCAGGTTGGTCTGAAATGTCCTCATTTCCCAATAAAGGAGAAAAGGCTTCCCCAGAGACTTACATTCATGAAAACATCGTGAATGTAGTTGTCAGTGTCAGCATCCCAGAAACACCGGGCAGCCATGCTAAAAAATTAGAGAAGGAATAACAATTAACAATACTATGTTATATAACTAATATAATAATATAACAAGCATCTGAACTTCACTTATCTTCCAGGAGCAAGTTATTCCTTCATACATTTTTTTTTTGTCGGTCTTGGGGCTTGAACTCTGGGCCTGGGTGCTTTCCCTGAGCTCCTCAGCTCAAGGCTAGCACTCTACCACTTGAGCCACAGTGCCATTTTTGGTTTTCTGGTGGTTTATTGGAGATAAGAATCTCAGGGCCTTTCCTTCCTTCCTAGGCTGGCTTTGAACCATGATCCTCAGATCTGAGCCTCCTGAGTAGCTTGGATTATAGGTATGAGCCACCGATGCCCAGGCCATACATTCTTCTTTTTTTTTTTTTTTGATTTTTTATTGTAAAGATACTATACAGAGGGTTACAGTTACATGAGCAAGGTAATGAGTACACTTCCTATTGGGCAGTTACCCCCTCCATTGTTTTCCCCCTGCCATCCCTTCCCTCCCTACCTTCCCTGAGGTTCTTTTTTTTTTTTTAATTGTGATTAAATGATTACATAATTTCCCAAATTTCACAGTATTGTGGAATAATGATGTTCATTTAAAGTCACAAGTTCATTCTAACTTTCCTGGAGCAAATTGTCTATCACAGTCTATAACATATAACGGTGTACACATGTTATACACCATACATGTGATCAGCAGCATGGGGATATTTAGTAGTGGTTCGACCAGATGAGTGGGAGTTCTTTGTTTCTTAAATCCTGTTAATTTTGTCGTATCACCTAACATTTTGGATTTAGCATCCACTTATCAGGGAGACCATGTACCGTTTGTGTCTTTGCTCTTCCAGGCCATACATTCTTTTTTTTTTTTGCTCTTCCAGGCCATACATTTTTTTTTTGCCGGTCATGATGCCTGAACTCTGGGTCTGGGCACTGTCCCTCAGCTCTTCAGCTCAAGGCTAGCGCTCTATCACTGGAGCCACAGTGCCACTTCCGGCTTTTTCTGTTTATGTGGTGCTGAGGAATCGAACCCAGGGCCTCATGCTTGCAAGGCATGCACTCTACGGCTGAGCTACCTTCCCAGCCCCCAGGCCATATATTCTTATAGAACAGTGCTGCCAAACCTTTCCATAGATTAGCCTGCAGAGAAAAATCTTGTTTCTCTGGTAGGATACGTTGGGTAATCTGGACAGCCAGTCATAGGTTAGGCTGCTCATAGCTTGACTTGACCAGCTCCAGGGCTCTCGCAGTCTCGGATCCCAGACCCCAACAGCCTGCCTGAGGACAAGGGGCATCGTTTTGTTGTTTTGTTACCATTTTGGAGTTTGAACTCTGGACCTAATGCTTGCTAGTCAAGTGCTCTACCACCTCCGCTACATGGCTGATATTTTTACTTATCTATGTTTCAGATAGGGTCTCATACTTTGGCACAGGGCCAATCTTGAACTTTGATTCTCCTACTTATGCCTCCTGTTTGGCTAAGATTATCAATGTATACCATTATGTCCAGCCTCTTTCTTTTCTTTTCTTTTTTTCTTTTCTTAATTTGGTGCTGGTTCTGGGGCTTGAACTCAAGGCCTATTGCTTTCCCTGAGCTCTATCCACTCAAGGCGAGTGTCAGCCACTTGAGCCACAGCTCCACTTCTGGCTTTTGGGGTGGTTAATTGAAGATAAGAGTCTCACAGACATTCCTGCCCCGGCTGGCTTTAAATCAGGATCCTCTGATCTCAGCCTCCTGAGTAGCTAGGATGATGGGTATGAGCCACTAGTGCCCAACTGAGATTTAACTTTTTGTTTGTATGAGCCTTGATCCACAGAGGTCAATATCTTAAATATTCTGGATGGAGTGCTGCTATAGTTTTCTTCTGCTAAGACAGTTATATGTGACTTTCAGTGAGTGCAATTCCTGTATAATTCTTTCTTCACAAGGTCTGCAAAGGACCCAGAAGATGGTTCAGTCCAACCTGATCATTTTATAGAGTCCCAGAAGAGAAAAGTGTAAACTCTGAACTAAAATTCAGTCTTCAAACTAAATCCAGATTTGTCTCTTACAGGATGCTATGTTCCCTATAATGTTCATACTGGCCATTCTACATTCCCCTATTCTTGAGTAAGAAAAAAAAAATTACTCAAACTAAAAAAAATGGAGGCTGGGTACTGGTGGCTCATGCCTATAATCCTTGCCACTAGGAGGCTAAGAGCTGAGGATCACAGTTAGCAGCCACCATGGGCAGGATAGTCTGAGACTTATCTCCAATTAACTGGCAAAAAAGTAAGATATGAAGCTACACTTCAAGTAGCAGAGTGCTAGCCCTGAACACAAAAACTCAGGGACAGTGCCCAGGCCCTGAGTTCAAGCCCCAGAACTGGCACCAAATAAAGGAAGCCCCAAACCCCTAGGCTCAAGGGATCCTTCTGCCTCAGCCTCCACAAGAAGCTAGGATTATAGGCACATGCCACTGTGAGCCCACTTCATATGTTTTTCCCTCTTTTTGGGGGAGGGGGGGACAGGGAGGATAGGGGAACAAGGTGTTACTATATAACACAAACTGGCCTCAAACTTGCAATCTCCTACCTTAGCCTCTTGAATTCTGGGATTACTGGTGTTTGCCACCACACCTGGCTTCATATTTTCTTTTCAAAAGTTTCATTATGGGCTGGGAAGGTGGCTCAGTGGTAGAGTGCTTGCTTTGCATGCATGAGGCCCTGGGATCGATTCCGCAGCACCACATAAGCAAAAAGAAAAAAAGCTGGAAGTGGCACTGTGGCTCAAGTAATAGAGCACTAGCCTGGAGCTGAAGAGCTGAGGGACAGCACCCAGGCCCAGAGTTCAGGCCCCACAACTGGCAAAAAATAAAAAATAAAAAGAAGGTTTCATCAATTTCCAAACTGTATCACTAACAATATGAAGTAAAATTAGCAGACTTAATTAGCCAGTTCAAAAATATTTATTGGCTTAGTGGTTGAGTGTTGCCTAGCATACATGAAGTCCTGGGTTTGATTCCTTACTACCACATAAACAGTAAAAGCCAAAAGTGTGGCTGTGGCTCAAGTGGCAGAGTGCTAGCCTTGAGCAAAAGAAGCTCAGGGACAGTTCAAGTCCTAGGACTGGCAAATACATATTTTACAATATATAATATTGTAATATAAATATATACTAATATATATATATATATATAGCTAGGGGTGCAAATTAGTGATAAAGCATTTGACTAGTATACATGAGACTGTGTTCAATTCTCAGCTATGGTGTGTGTACACCACAAATCAAATAATTTCTAGCTAAATGGGGGGAAGTAACACACATGAATAATTATGCTTATTTCTCACTTGTAACTTACTGGGATTAAATGATTTTAATGTCTATCTAACCTCAGCCTCCAAGTTATGCAATATAAATCTGTAATAGTTCCACACAAGTTTAAAGAAGTTGGAGAGAAGAAAAAGGCAGGACTAAAGGAAGCCATACCCAAACATAGCAAGAAAACATGAATGTATTAACAAACATTTGTTGAGTAACAATTATATAGATCAGTCAAAATGCTGCACTTGAAGAAAATAAAGATTTGCATAACACAGTCCTTGTCTCTAAACTCTGGTCTCTTCACACCATTTCCCAGTAAAAGGAACAAGGCTCTTTGGACAAATGTCCAACTCTAGGTGTAGGGTTAAAAATGTTCAATAGAAGCTGGGCACTCGAGGCTCACGCCTGTAATCCTAGCTATTCAGCAGGCTGAGATCTGAGGATCATGGTTCAAAACCAGCCCTGGCAGGAAAGTCTATGAGACTCTTATCTCCAATAAACCACTAGAAAACTGGAAATGGAGCTGTGGCTCAAGTGGTAGAGAGCGCCCAAGCCCAGAGTTCAAGCCCCACGACTGACAAAAAAAGAAAAATGTTCAATAGAAATCTGGGTCATATAGTCATACAGAAAACTTTGTTCAACTAGGAAGCATGCTGTATGTATGTACAGGTACATACACATATGCATACACATGTGAACGTACATACATATGTATGTACGTACATACATACTTACACATACATTTATATATATGTTAAATCTAAAGGTCTTAGCAGTATGGTAGAAGAGCTTGTGTAGTAGGCTAATGCTCCCACTGAGATCATTTAGGAAATCTGGATAAAATGTCAAAGAGCTACATAAGCAAGCAGACTTAAGTAGCCAAAATTACATTAAGATATGACTAGAGAGGTAAGCTACTATTCCACAGCAGAATTTCCCCCCCAAGTCTTTGCCAGTTCTAGGCATGGTTAGAGGCCAAGAATCTTGGTTTTGCCTATGTGAGGAAAAGAACCCAGCAGGACTGTCTCAAAAGGACAGAGAGAAATTTGGAGTCTGGAGGGACCAAGATAGCTATAAATGGGTCAGAATAAAACTAAGCTTTTCACATGGTAGGTTTTTTTTCTTCAAGATGTCCTGAATTCTGCACTTTGGTGGCAGAATTTTAAAAAGCTAAGTGTGGTAGACAAAATAATAGTCCTTTAAATGTTCACATTCTTAGTTCTATAAATGTATTTTATTACATGGAAAAAAAGAGGTTTGTAGATAGATATATGAATAAATTAAACATTTTTTTTCCAGTCTTGGGGCTTGAACTCGGAGCCTGGGCACAATTCCCGGCTTCTTTTGCTCAAGGCTAGTACTCTACCACTTGAGCCACAGGGCCATTTCCCACTTTTTCTGTTTATGTGGTACTGGAGAATCGAACCCAGAGTTTCATGCATGCTAGGCAAGCATTCTACCACTAAGCCACATTCCCAACCCAGACACCTTTTATCTTAACGAAATCCACTTTGGATCCCTGATCTTCATAACTTTAAAATACTATTTGCTGTTTTGACTCTAGGTTAGTCAGTACAAATCTAGAGGGGAAAAAAAAACTAAGGAAAAAGCCTATGAGCAAAGTTTTATGTAATCTTTAAATAAGGACTAAAAGTCAGTATTGGCTGGGTCTCAGTGAACATTCCAGGCTGTTAGTTGAAAATCCTAAAGAGCTACAAATAAAGAAAGAAAAGGAGGTGGGCTGGGAATGTGGCTTAGTGGTAGAGTGCTTGCCTAGCATGCATGAAGCCCTGGATTCAATTCCTCAGTACCACATAACAGAAAAGGCCAGAAGTGGCATTGTGGCTTAAGTTGGTACTATGCTAACCTTGAGCAAAAGAAGCCCAGGAATTGTGCCCAGGCTCTGAATTCAAGCCTAGGACTAGCAAAAAAAAAAAAAGTAAGGTGGTGCACACCTGCAATCCCATCTCTCAGGAGGTGGGAACAGTAGGTCAAGAGTTCAAGGCATGGGCTGGGAAGGTGGCTCAGTGGTAGAGCGCTTGCCTTGCATGCCTGAGGCCCTGGGTTCGATTCCTCAGCACCACATAAGCAAAAAGAAAAAAGCTGGAAGTGGTGCTGTGGCCCAAGTGGTAGAGCGCTAGCCTTGAGATGAAGAGCTGAGGGACAGCGCCCAGGCCCACGACAGGACCGAAAAAAAAAAAAAAGAGAGTTCAAGGCAGCTTGGTGCTGGTGGCTCATGCCTGTAATCCTAGCTACGCAGGAGGCTGAGATCTGAGGATCATGGTTCAAAGCCAGCCTGGGCAGGAAAGTCCATTAGACTCTTATCTCTAATAAGCCACTAGAAAACCAGAAGTGGCGCTGTTGTTCAAGTGGTAGAGAACTAGCCTTGAGCTGAAGAGCTGAGGGACAGTGCTCAGGCCCAGAGTTCAAGGCCCACAACTGACAAAAAATAAAATTAAAAAAAACAAAAAGCTCAAGGCAAGCCCTGGCTATGTAGTGATACCTTGTCTCAGAAAACAAAACAAAGTAATCACAATAAAGTATGGATTTAATAATGCTTCAACATTGTTGTATTAAATAATAAATGATTCATGCTGCTCTAAAACATTAGTGATGTGGGAAAAAATGTAGGGTACATGGGAAATTTCTGGACTATCTCTGTAAATTTAAAACTTACAGCTGGACCTTGTAGCAAATGCCTGTAATGCCTGCACTGGAGAGGTAGAGACAAGAGAATCCTGAATTTTCTTTCAGACTAGAGAATGTAAATTCAAGGCTCAGTGAGAGCCTGTCTCAAAACACAAAAAAGAAAAAGAAGAAGAAAAAGAAACAAAAAGATTCTACTGTAAAATTATATATATATATATATATATATATATATATATATTGAGAAAGAATTTTCTCAAATGGGTTCAAAACATCCACCCACAGATTGAAGAAGAATCCCAAAGAGAACAACTACAAAGAAAAACCAACATGTCAGAAAATGACAGAGATACACATTGTAAAGTGGTTAGGGAAAAAAAGAAACAGGATTTCAAAAGTGATATTTCAGCTATAATTAGACTCACAGATGAAAATAAGAAAACAGGACTCTTCTCCCTGGTAAGGACTGTGAATGTCGTACTGAGCCACTCTGACGATGTGCACAGATATAACAGAACAGCCTTATCTTGGACCCCAGTGAGGCACCATAGCAAGGGATTAGTTACTATCTTGTAACCACTGAAAAAAGAAAGAATGCATCTAAAACATGCTGCTCAAGCCATTAAAAGTACAGAATCTGATCTGAGAATTTAGAAAGGATGAGTTTGTTATAACTTTGGCGGGGGGGGGGGGGGGGGGGGAGTAAGTGGGGGAGGTAGGAAGGGAAGGGATGGTAGAAGAAAAACAAAGGAATGGGCAACAAGAAATGTACTCATTACCTTACTCATGTAACTGTAACCTCTCTGTACAGCATCTTTTCAGGAAAATAATTTCTTATTTTTTTAAAGAAAGGATGAGTTTGTCTCATAGAAGTATTTCTTCCTCCCTTCTTTCTTTCTTTTCTTTCCTCTTTCTTTCTTTCTTTCTTTCTTTTTTTTTGTTGGTCATGGGACTTGAACTCTGGGCCTGGATGCTATCCCTCAGCTCTTCAGCTCAAAGCTAGCACTCTACCACGTGAGCCACAGCGCCACCTCTGGCTTTTTCTGTTTATGTGGTGCTGAGGAATCAAACCCAGGGCCTCATGCATGCAAGGTAAGCACTCTACCACTGAACCACCTTCCTAGTCCTCATAGCAAATATTTCTTATTCTTTGTGGTAAGGAAATCTGTAGCCTTGTCGCAAAAGTGCAGGGCACTGTGCTGAAGTCACTTATCTGAGTCAGAACACTGGCTCTTCCTATTGCCCCTGATACTAACCACATAGATAATTTTGGGTAAACCTTGCATATATCTCATCTAGAAAATAAGGACACAGGGGCTGGGAAGGTGGCTCAGTGGTAAAGCGCTTGCCTTGCATGCTCAAGGCCCTGGGTTCAATTCCTCAGCACCACATAAGCAAAAAGAAAAAAAGCCGGAAGTGGCGCTGTGTCTCAAGTGGTAGAGCGCTAGCCTTGAGCTGAAGAGCTGAGGGACAGCGCCCAGGCCCAGAGTTCAGGCCCCACGACCGGACCCAAAAAAAAAAAAAAAAAAAAAAGAAAATAAGGACACAAAATAATCTCAGTGTTTTCCAGACCTAATATTCTATAGAGGAAACTGATAATATCTACACAGGACACTTGAAAAATCCATCAAACCAACTGTTTAGTATTTTCTTACAAAATACTAGGCATTGTTTACAAAGGAAGGTGGAGGAGTAACACTTGGGCATAGGAAAAGACAAGAAACAGATTTGGGGATCAACCATACAAAAATGACAATTTCAGGTCATAAGAAGGAATGAGCAAAAAAAGTACTGAGAATAAGACCAAGAACTGAGCCTTGAAGAAAGCTCACAGCTGGAGATGCAAGAGACAACCAGAAGCCAATAAAGGAGAAAAATATAAGTAGTTAGCAAAACAAGGTCGATAACTGACGTAAGGTCCAAATAATCAGAGCAAAGTTTAAGACTAGCCAAGAACAAGAACTTAAGGAACAGCTATTAATTAGCTCAGCACGGTGGTACATACCTATAATCCCAGCACTGGGATGGTAGAGGCAAGAAGATCCTGAGTTCAACCAGAGCCTAGGCTACATAGCAAGACTGTCTGAAAACAGGGACAGGAGGTATTAAATCTGCTAATAAGGCTCAAGTAACTCTTAAAAAAAAAAACTCTGTGAGTGATAAAAAGCTGGGCAAAAAAAGAGTTTAGGAGACACATAGGTTCATAATACTCCATTATCTATGGAAGCATACATGCAAACTCTGACATACTTGTTAGGCCGTAGATCTATGAGGAATGAGTTATCTGGAAGAGCTCTCCTATACTGTCTACCTATTATTTTAGTACCAAGACCTCTTCAAGGTCTAGCTGTCCTTACTGACACGATCTTACTGAATTATCAAGAGCATCCTTACTTCCTAAGCAACACACATGAAGAAAAATAAAAAGCGAGAAGGACTACTCACAACACTCCTTCACCTCTTTGCTCCCCAATGAGTACTTGCACCACCATTTTATATCGATCAAATCCCATTTCTAGAAAGAAAAGATAGGAAAGTTACCTATTAGCAAGTATTTAATAAAACTGCATGCAAATCTGCTTGAAGGCAAATCATCCAGAACAGACACTGAATCCACAGGTACTTGTGGAAATAATGGGAAGCTGGGAATCAGAAGCCAGGAACTAGACTCTAAAGTCAAAGTAACCAAGAGGAAAATGTTGGAGAACTTAGCTAACTTTTCTATTTGCATTCATTCATCTCCAGGTGTTAGTGGCTTAGACCTGTAATCCTAACGACTCAGGAAGCTAAGATCTAAGGATGGCAGGTTTAAAGCCAGTGCAGGCAGGAAAGTCCGGACTATGCGACTCTTACCTCCAATTAAACTAGAAGTGGTGCTGTGGCTCAAAATGGCAGAGCACCAGCCTTGAGCAAAAGAGCTCACAGACAGTGCCCAGGCCCAGAGTTCAAGCCCCATGACCGACAAAAGAAAAAACTTTCCTCATCTGTTAAAGGAGAACATTTTGCTGAAACAAGGATACAAGTTGACCCATTGTAACAATGTACAAGATAGTAAATTGAAAATGAACTTTACATCTTGAGGGAAAGGAGTTAAGGAGGTGGGAAAGTGGGGAAGGAACGGATGGTAGGGGAAAAACAAAGGAGGAGGTAACAATGCTCGATAGGAAATGTACTCATTACCCTATTCATGTAACTGTAACCCCTCTGTACAGTATCTTTACAATAAAAATATATATTAAAAAAAATAAATGGGAATACCTACCTGCCTAGGAGGTTGTAAGGTTAGGCAAGATAAGGTATAGCAATCTACAGAGCATCTAGTCTAGTAGCTACACTTGGTAGTCTCTCAGTAAACCTTTGTTTGCTTCCCTATCCTTTCCCTATGTCAGGTCCTGACATAGGTCTGGGGTTGCAGACACCAATAAGACATCCTTTGTCCTTAGAAAACTCATAGTAATAAGGAAATTACAATCACACACACACACACACACACACACACACAAACTCAATGAAATTGCCATCTAGGGGGCTGGGAAGGTGGCTCAGTGGTAGAGCACTTGCCTTGCATGCATGAGGTCCTAGGTTTGATTCCTCAGCACCACATAAGCAAAAAGAAAAAAAAAAGCCGGAAGTGGCGCTGTAGCTCAAGTGGTAGAGCGCTAGCCTTGAGCTGAAGGGCTGAGGGACAGCGCCCAGGCCCAGAGTTCAGGCCCCACGACTGGACCAAAAACAAAAAACAAAACACCAACTTATTGCTGTACTATTCACAATAGCCAAGTCATGAAAATACCCAAGTGCCCTACAATAGATGAGTGCATCCAAAAACTGTGGTAGCTATACACAACAGAATTTTACACATCTATTAGAAAGACTAATATTATGTCCTTTGAAGGGAAATAGATGGTCCTAGAACAAATCATGTTAAGTGAGGTAAGCCAAGCTCAGAAACACAAAACAATGCACGTTTTCTCTCATATACCGAAGCTAGATCTAAAATACCCTGGGACATGATAAATCAGATAGGATTCTAGACACACACAGGGAAACCAAAGGAGGATATTCTTGGTGGAGGAACACAAAGGAGAACGCCCAGTGCATCTGATCATATAAAATAATATTTATTGAAATGAACTCAGGAAATGGAAATGAGGGTTTTTTTCTTTTTTTCTTTATGTTTTCTTTTTGTCTTGTTTATCTGTCTTTGGGAAGGTAAAGGGGGGGACACAGAAATGGAGGGCTGAAGGGTGAACACTAGACACTATGTTGAAATGAACTATAAAACTTGTGGGTAGGAACAGGAGGAAATAGTGGGAGAGAACGAGAGAAGGGGTGACTCTGTACTCTTCATCTGACATGGAACTGTAACCACTCTGTGTATCACCTTTATAATAACAATAAAAGTGTAAATGAGAAAGGAATTAGTACATGTGGGTGACAAAGACAAATCACGTGTCCTGAAGAGACTATATAACAAATGAAACAGAATTCTGAGGTAAAGAAAATGTGCTTGAATGAAAAAATCAAGCTGGGTGCCGATGGCTCACGCCTGTAATCCTAGCTACTCAGGAGGCTGAGATCTGAGGATTGCAGTTCAAAGCCAGCCCGGACATAAAACCAGAAGTGGCTCTGTGGATCAAGTGGTAGAGTGCTTGCCTTGAGCTGAAGAATGTAGGGACAGTACCCAAGCCCAGAGTTCAAGTCCCACCACCGACAACAAGAAAAAATCAAAAGCTGCAGACTGAAAGATAGATGTTCAATACCGACCTCAAGGGCGAAAGGACAGGACTCTGCTTTCCTGCCATGCTAGAGAATGAACCCTCAGCCTTATTCGTGCTCAGCAAGCACTCTACCTCTGAGCTATACCCCCAGCTCAAGGACTTTTTAGATTCAGATTTCCCCATAGACAATTCATGTTCATTGCCAGAACGCAATAAAGTACACAAGACTCAAGAAAACAAATTATTTTCCCAAAAATGTTATATTTGTACAAGGTATATTTTAGTTTAAAGTCAAAAGGCAAGAAACAACACAGGAAGTAGAGCATTTATGAGCTTTAGCTGGAAAAAAACTTACAAGAGTTCGTTAAAGCCAGGCATCAGTAGCTCTCACCTATAATCCTAGCTTCTCAGGAAGCTGAGACCTGAGGATTGAGGTTCACAGCCAGGCCTGGCAAGAAAGTCTATGAGATTCTTATTTCCAATTAACTACCAATAGCTGAAGTAGAGTTGTAGCTGTACTGTAGCAAAAAAGCTCAGGGAAAGCAGGCCCTGAACCCCAGGACTGGCACCAAAAAGGAAAAAAAAGCTCACCAAAATAAAGAATATATTGTCCAAGTAGTTTATATGCATGCATGAAAACAGAACAATGAAACTTGTTGAAATCATTTTTGAAGGGGGTCTATGGAAAAGGGAATGATAGAGGAATGAGTAATTGGGATACATCATATCCCAATTAATGTCACAGTGAACCCCCCCCTTGCACAACTAACGTATACAAAAAAAGAAAAGACCTCATATCCATGAATTTTAAAAAAAGATTTAATTGTGATCAGTTATTCCATTTAAACATTGAATAAGGCCTAGCACAGTAGCTTACACCTATAATCCCAACTAGTAGTAGGGAAGTAGACGTCAGATGGATGATGTTTCAAGGACAGCCTAGAAAAAGTTAGTAAGACCCTATCTTAACCAATAATCCAGGTGCAGTGGCTCATGTTTGTGATTCTACCTACGCAGGAGATACAGGAAACGTGATCATGTGATCCAAGGATATCATGGGGCAAAAACACAAACCTTATCTGAAAAATAATTAAGAGATAAAACATCCAGGGTGTGGCTAAAGTGGTAGAGCACCTGTCTGGCAATGTCTGAGTCCCTGAGGTCCACAATAAAAAAATAAAATTACACACACTCGTATAGAATTAACACTATACAACTACAGAAAATAGTATATACAAGCCGGGTGCCAGTGGCTCATGCCTGTATCCTAGCTACTCAGGAGGCTGAGATCTGAGTATCGAGTTTCAAAGCCAGCCCGGACAGGAAAGTCTGTGAGACTCTTTTTTTTTTTTTTTTTGTCGGTCGTGGGGCTTGAACTCTGGGCCTGGGCGCTGTCCCTCAGCTCTTCAGCTCAAGGTGAGCGCTCTACCACTTGAGCTACAGTGCCACTTCCGGTTTTCTGGTGGTTTATTGGAGGTAGGAGTCTCACGGTCTCTCCTGCCCGGGCTGGCTTTGAACCGCGATCCTCAGATCTCAGCCTTCTGAGTAGCTAGGATTATAGGCGTGAGCCACCAGCCCGGCTATCTGTGAGACTCTTATCTCCAATAAACCACAAGAAAACAGGAAGTGGCACTGTAGCTCAAGTGGTAGAGCGATGGCCTTGAGCTGTAGAGCGCAGGGACAGTGCCCAGGTCCAGAGTTCAAGCCTCACGATCAAAGGGGGGAAAAAAAGTCAGGAAACAAAACACTAAAATATTAACAATGCTTAATTCTGACAGAAATACATGGGATTTCTTCTTTGTACTTATATATTTTTGTTAATTCCTAAAAATTAAAATAAACTCAGGAAAATAAAACAGATCAAAATGGTAAGTAGTTACCTTTGAGTCATATTTTATATAATTTTTAAATGGTAAGTATACTGTTCTATATTGTCCAGTTTGATTACAATGAGTGTGGGGGTTCTTTGTGTGTTTTGTGTGTGTGTGTGGGGGGGTGATCATGGGGCTTGAACTCAAGATCTGGGCACTTTTGCTCAAGGTTAGTGCCTTACCACTCTGAGCCACAGCACCACTTCTGGTTTTTGAGTAATTAACTGGAGATAAGAGTCTCATGGGAGGGGCTGGGAAGGTGGCTCAGTGGTAGAGCGCTTGCCTTGCATGCATGAGGCCCTGGGTTCGATTCCTCAGCACCACATAAGCAAAAAAAAAAAAAAAAAAAAGCCGGAAGTGGCGCTGTGGCTCAAGTGGTAGAGCGCTAGCCTTGAGCTGAAGAGCTGAGGGACAGCGCCCAGGCCCAGAGTTCAGGCCCCATGACAGGACCCTCCCCCCCTCCAAAAAAAAAAAGAGTCTCATGGGGACTTTTCTGCCCTGGATGGCTTCAAACAGCAATCCTCAGATATCAGCCTCCTGAGTAGCTGGGATTACAGGTCTGACCTGTAATCCTGTGTCTGGCTGTGTGTGTGTGTGTGTGTGTGTGTGTGTGTGTGTGTGTGTGTGTGTGTGTGCGCATGTGTGTGTGTGTGTGTGCATGTGTGCGCGCATTACTTTTACAAAAACATTTCCTCCCTCCAAAAAACCGCATCTTTAAAGAAGAGGCTGTCAGCTTCCTGCACATGGCATCTGGAGCCACAGTGAATTATGATACAAAAGTAAGCAAGTAAGGAAGACATCTACAGAAGAGATCACAAAAAGCAAGCAAATGGTTCTCTCCTGCATACGTGGTAACAGAAGACAAATTATTGTGGAAAAAAGCAGCTGATGTTGGAGGTGACATGTGACACTGCAGAGGACCCCTCACATCTTCTGTGAAGTTGTTGCCTCTGATCATTACACAGCCTGTCAGTGGCTGCTACTTGACTGCTTTATGCAGTTACTTTTAAGTAGAACCCAAACAATGCCTTTCTGTCTTTTGATACTGTTGGTTTGAATTTTAGTTTTTTGGAGACAGAGTCTGGCTATGTGGCCCAAGGACGGTCTTGAACTCCTGCCTCTGTCTCCTGAGAGCTGACATGTCAGGCCCGTTCCCATCCCTTCCTGTCTCTATACCTCCCTTGCAGCACGCTCAGTGAGTGACACTGCCAATGTAAACAGCTTAGAGAACTGCAGAGGGTAAGCTAACTAAAGGTCTTGAAAGTATGATCTGCTGGTCAGGGAGTAAACTTTTCCAGTAACATTTATAGTTGTACTCAATTGCAGTACTGTGAGGTGCTGGGACATTTACAGGACACCTGCTTTGGCAAGCCTATTTTTGTGGAATGCAGCAAAGAATTTGTGTGCGTGCACGTGTGCACTTATCAGGGCTTTAATTCAGGGCTTTATGCTGGTACTTGGCCTTCTTGTTCTCAGTTGGCATGCTACAATACCATTTGAACCACAATTCCAGCCCAGCAGGTGTAGAGTTTGGCAGGAGTGGAGGATTGAGTAATATAGTTAAGAATTCAGTGGAGAGATAGACTGAGGATAGCATGAGACAGTACTGGGAGAGGCTGGAGAAGAGATGACTGATAAAAATGCAGCCAAGAACTATGGGAAAAAGTAGTATATGATTTCCAGGCAAGCATTATAGCTCTTGACCCATACTTACAGCTCTTTTGCTTATATTTTGTTTTTCAGATAGAGTCTCACTACGTTTGCCTAAGATGGCCTTGAACTCAATACTCCTACTTCAATAACTCCTGCCTCAATATCCAGAGCAGCTCGAATTACAGGAATATGTCACTGTGTCCTTCCTCCTAGCCTTTCTGAATACGTGTATCTCTTGGACAACCATTCCCTATGATGTTTTATTTCACATCTTCCCCCCTTCCCACCATCTGAAAACACCTTCATGAATAAGAGTCATGAAATAATTATAGAAAAGTAGACATTGAAAATAAAATTGTCTTTAATAGAAACCACAGTTTATGTCTCTTATTTAAGATGGGGTCTGGGACAAACGGGCAAAACAAGTATTTGCAGGGAATAGTCATTTGAGTTATTACATTACCTTTTAATTTATCTTTAACGGTTTCTGATAAACGTTTTGTGAGCTGAGGCATTTCTTCTGGAGAGTATTCAGCATTTGTCAGTTCCTCCTTGAGCACAGCATGGATACAGTCTTTAACCACGGAGGGCCTGAACCTGATGAAACAATTCAATAACAAGTGTCAGTAACTCCAAACCCCAACCTACCTGCATACCTTAACTTTCCTCGGGTGCTTGTCTGTCTCTTTGTTTTTGTTTAGTACTGGGGTTTGAACTCAGGCCCTTGTAATAGCTAAGAAAGCACTCTACTAATGAACCACATCTCTAGCCCCCCCCCTTTTTTTTTTTTTTGCACAGCTTTATTCCTTTTTTTGGTGGTTAATTGGAGATAAGAGACTCATAGACTTCAGTTATTTTTGAGAGTCCTCCTTTTTTCCGAAGCCTGCACCTGGACCACAGTCCGCCTATATTATGCTTCCTGTCATAACTAGAATGACAGGCACATACTATAATTCCCAACTTCTTCTGTTGAGATAGACTCTAATAGACTTGTCTGCTCAGGCTATTCTGGAATAGCAATCCTCCCAATCTCAGCTTCCCAGATAGCTGGGATGATAGGAATGTACCACTATTCACAGTTATTAGTTGAGAAGAGGTTTTATATGTATGTCTGGGTTGGCCTCAAAATGTAACCCTCCTGGGCTGGGAAGGTGGCTCAGTGGTAGAGCACTTGCCTTGCATGCATGAGACCCTGGGTTCGATTCCTCAGCACCACATAAGCAAAAAGAAAAAAGCCAGAAGTGGCACTGTGGCTCAAGTGGTAGAGCGCTAGCCTTGAGCTGAAGAGCTGAGGGATAGCACCCAGGCCCAGAGTTCAGGCCCCATGACCGGATTCCCCTCCCCCCAAAAAATGTAACCCTCCTGATTTCAGAGTTGGTAGGATTACAGTTGTGAGCCACCAGTTTTTACCTTCAGTACCCTTAAGTTTTTCCTCTTTTTTGCATTTGTTCATTATAAAAATAATATAAAAGCCAGGTCCAGTGGCTCACACTAGTAATCCTCACTACTCAGGAGGCTGAGATCTGAGGATCACAGTTCTAAGCTAAGGCAGGAAAGTCCATGAGACTTATCTCCAATTATGCATCAGAAAACCGGAAGTGGTGCTATAGCTCCAAGTGATAGAATGCTAGCCTTGAGTGAAAGAAACAGCCCCCACTCCCTGAGTTCAAACCTCATAACCAACGAACCAACAAACAAAACAACAACAAAAAACAAAACCCATGGCACTGCCCAAACAAAAAAGAAATGCACTCATTACCTGACTTAGGTAACTGTAACCCCTCTATGCATCACCTTTATAATAATAAAAATTTTAATTTTTTAAACATAAAATTTTAGAAAGTAATATAAATAAAAATACCTCAGAACAAATCATATCTCAAATTCCTATCTACAGCCTACAATACTCCTCATTTTAATACCAACACACTCCATCTGGATGTCAAACAGGATACCTTGAACAGATCTTTTCTCTCCTCTAGACTGGGTCTATCTCAGAAATGTAAGTCAAGCTGGACACAGTGGCTCAAGCTTATAACCTTAGCTACAAAAGAGGCAAGGGACACCATGATCTGAGGCCAATGACTGAGCAAGGTGGTGTGTGTCTATTTATCCTAGCTATGAGGGAAGCACAATGGCTAGGCCCAGTGACGAACATCTGTCATCACAAAGTACAAGTCACAAAGTACAAGTTGGAGGACTGCACCCCAAGGCACTTGGGCATAAAGTAAGACCCTGCATTGAAAATAACCAAAGCACAAAAGGGGCTAGAGGTTTAGCTCAAGTGGTAGAGCACTTGCCTATAGAAAAGAAAAAAGAGAAAGAGAGAAAGAAATAGCAAGCCAGGTGTCAGAGGCTCATAGCTGTAGTCCCAGGAGGCTGAAATCGGAGGATCTCAGTTCAAAGCCAGCCCAGGCAGGAAAGTTCTTGAGACTCTTATCTCCAATTAGCCACCAAAAAGCTGAAAGTGGAGGAAATTGGAAGTTGCAAAAAAATACAAGCAAGAATGTAAGGGCCAGAGTTGACACTCTAGTAGTGGCACAAGAAGAAGAAAAGAAATGGCAACCCAATTCTCCCATTTTCTCAAGTCACTGATTGTCTTTCATCCCTGCCAGACAAAAATCCTAACAAGAGTTAGGATTATTATTTTTTTTGGTGCCAGTCCTGGGGATTGAACTCAGGGTCCAGGCACTGTCCCTTAGCTTTTTCACTCAAGGCTGCTGCTCTACCACCTGAACCACACCTCTACGTCCACCTTTATTGGTAGTTAATTGGAGATAAAAGTCTCAAGGACTTTCCTACCCTGGCTGACTTCAAACCACAGTCCTCAGATCTTAGCCTCATGAGTAACTAGAATTATAGGCATGAGCCACCAGCACCCAGCTGAGAGGTGGGATTTTATTTTCTTGGTGATACTAGGGACTAAACCCTTATGTGTACTAGGTAAGTGGTCTTCCACTTGAGGGGCTCCTCCAGAGCTTTTGTTTGTATGTTGTCTTTGAGAAAATTTGGTCATTACCTTTTCCCAGCCTGGCCTCAAGCTCAACATTCTCCTGCCTCAGCCTCCAGAGTAGCTAGAATTAAAGGTATGTACCACCAAGCACAGAAGAATTTTGTTCATTTACATTTCCAAAAAAATAAAAACCCTAGTACAATAAGTAGTGGTACTGGGGTTTAAACTCAGCTCCTCAGGTTCTTTACTGATGAGCCACATCTCCACCCCAAGTAAATGAGCTATTAAATTAAGACAAATGGAAAATGCATCTTGTCATTCCACTACTCTATAACATCATTAGCATACTGGTTGAATTTATTATACATTATAACATTAGGTTCCTTTCCAAGGCTGTTTCTTCCATGAGTTGATATGTCTAACATTATGAGGTTATCAGAATATTTCAAGTTTTATACTTGAAGTTTTGAATGCAGTTTGACATTTGGTAGTATTTGTGTCCCTTAGTATATCTATAAGATGTTTTCTCGAAGTGGTGCTGTGGCTCAAGTGGTAGAACACTAGCCTTGAGCACAAAGAGGCTCAGAAACAGCACCCAGGTCCTGAGTTCAAGCCCCAGGACCAGAAAAAAAATCCACCTAAAATATTTTCTTTGCTCTCTGTCTTGGTCATTCTCATATAGGAACTTTAGAATCATCAACAAATTTATAAGTTATTTGGGGGACTAGGAATGTGGCTTAGTAGTAGAGTGCTTGCCTAGCATGCATGAAGCACTGGGTTTGATTCCTCAGTACCACATAAACAGAAAAAGCTGGAAGTGGGAGCAAAAGAAGCTCAGGGACAGTGCGCAGGCCTGAGTTCAAGTCCCTGAGTTCAAGAACTGGCAAAAAAAAAAAAAAAAAAAAAAAGATATTTGGAGCACAGTGGCAGCGTGCTTGCTTAGCAGTCACGTGAGGCTCTGAGTTCAATCTCCAGCAACACACACACACACACACACACACACACACACAAATAAATCCTCAATTTTGTCTGTTCAAAATGAGAATGAGGGAGCCAGGCACCGATGGCTCATACCTGTAATCCTAGCTACTCAGCTACTGAGGATCACTGTTCAAAGCCAGCCCAGGCAGGAAAGTCCATGAGGCTCTTATCTCCAATAAACCAGTCAAAAAACTGGAAGTGGCGCTGTGGCTCAAGCAGTAGAGCACTAGCCTTGAGCTGAAGAGCTGAGGGGCAGTGCCCAAGCCCAGAGTTCAAGCCCCACAACTGACCAAAAAAAAGAGAGAGAGACAGAGACAGAGAGACAGAGACAGAGAATGTGGGAGCTGGGAAGGTGGCTCAGTGATAAAGTGCTTGCCTTGCATTCATGAGGCCCTGGGTTCAACTCCTTAGCACCACATAAGCAGAAAAAGCAAGAAGTGGCACTGTGGCTCGAGTGGTAGAGCACTAGCCTTGAGCTGAAGAGCTGAGGGACAGCACCCAGGCCCAGAGTTCAGGCCCAGGACCAACCAAAAAAAAAAAAATGAGAATGAGGTCTTCTCATTCACAAACATACTATAGTCTTTTCCTTAAGCTGTTCAGTTCTCCATAAAATGTTTAAAGTGTATATGAAGTCATAGGATTATTCTTACATAAAATATGTGTTGTTAATCTTGTTCTGCACTATCTTACAACAGGAACACATTTAAATATCATTCTATGCATTTAGAGCCTTTAATCAAGATGACTGAAAGTATTTTTTTATACTGGGGCTTGAACTCTGGGCCTGGGCACTATCCCATTGCCTTTTGCTCAGGGCGAACCACTTGAGCCACAGCTCCTCAACCCGCTTTTTGGTGGGTAATTGTAGATACGGCTGTCATGGACTGTCCTGCTGGCTTCAAATCAAGACCCTCAGATCTAAGCCTCTTGAATAGTTAGGATTACAGGTGTGAGGCACCAGAACCCAGCCGGATGCCTTTTATGTCCATTTTATTCATGAAAAAAGTGCTGTATGAAATGATTATTATAAACAACCAAAGTTCCTGGTTTCTAGTACTTATCTGGTTTCTAACCACAGAGGACAAGCTTGTAGCGTTGTTTTTTTTTAAATCTTTTTCTCTTGTAAAGAGGTCGCGATAGATCCTACAGACCTAGCAGTCTGCCCTCTTCCCACAGTGTGTCAGCATGGCAGTCTAAAGGATGCACACATATATACAGGCCCAATGCCAAGACTACGTGCATTCTGATACAGATGTGCACATGAGAACCCTAGGAACACTGCGTCCCAAAACGCATTTTTTTTTCTGCTTCTACGCTATCCATTTCCCTTCCCCATTGCGAATGTTGTCTTAGAGATCAACCATTCCTGTGACACCAGAATAAGATTTTTCCTGCACCCTAACCAGGGACCCACTCCTCTACTGCCCCCTGCAGCCCGATAGTCAGACATCGGGTCGGAGGCGGCCCCGCCCCTCGCTTCCACACCCGACTCCGCCCACTCCACCCCTCCTCTTCCCCTCGGGAATAGCCCCGCCCAGTCCCCCGCCCACATACACACTGACTCCGCCCAGTCCTTCCCATCCCTGCTCTCTGCCGGTTCCAGCCCCGCCCAGACTCCGCCCAGTCCCCCACGCCCCGCGGGCGGTAGCCACGCCCACTCTCCGCCCCACTCCACCGCGCCTCTGACCCCCTGACCCCCCGACCCCAGCCCCAAGCCCCCGCGCTCCTCGTCCAAACTCGGGAATCTCTGCGTGCCAGTTGCCACAACCCGTGGTCGCCCCTCGCCACGTCGTCTCTACTACTCGCCTTTGCTGGAAAATGGGCCTCAGGATATATGTGTTCTCGGACTCCCCTGCATTCTTCTCAGACTCCGGCGCCCCGTCGCTCAAAGAGAGGGATGCTCCCACTACGAAGGACGGGCGACTCGCCATGGTCCGGACGCCGAGGCCGGGTGTACACGGTCTGGAAGGCCCGGCCGGTTGCGGCGTCGCCAGGGAAACAGGCCCCGCCCTTGGTCCTCACGTGACCCGGCTGTGAGTTTCGCAGCCACTCGGGGAGCGGCGGGCCTTCACCGGGCCTGCACGGCGCCTGCGCAGCTGATGCAGGGCCGGAGTGGCGGCCTCTGCTTCATGCCAGGCCTTTGGCCTTGTTGCGCCTGCGGAGCTCTGGAACACGCCTGATCTCTTAGAAATACTCATGGAACCTGAAGCGCTTAGAGTTTAAGAAATTTGATCCCCGATACTCTATTCCAAGGGTCTCCCGCAGACCCAACCTAGCATGCCTTTTTTTTTTTCTTCCTTGTATGAACGAAGGACGTGCATATAGGTGTCCTGTAATCCCAGCACTCGGGGTGCTGAAGCAGGAGAAAACAGGAGTTCGAAACCTGGTGCCTTTGGCTAACGCCTACTCAGCTACTCAGCTGGCATCCAGAGGATCATGGTTTTAAGTCAGCCAGTGCAGAAATGTGAACCAGTAAAAGGTTGGGCAGGGGGCGTGGCTGAAGTGAAGTACCAGCTGAGCAGGAAAACCAAGTGAGAGACCCCGAATTCAAGCCCTGGTATAGACAGAGGAGAAGTGGGAACAGAGTGTATGTGGATGAAAGTCTAACCTGGGCTACATTGCAGGGCCATATCTAAAAAAGCACCTGTCGTTGGCCCTGTGGTCCTGGCCTCTATTGAAAAGAATATCCTCCAATATCCAGGCATCCCTTGATAACCTTCTTTCTGTTGGCTGTGTTTGTTACCTGAAGTGGTTGGTGATGGCTTCAGGGAGGTCTCCGAAAAGAAGGGCTCCGCCTGGTGGTTAGGGAATGTGGCTCCAGAGCTGGAAATAGGGCTTAGTGGTAGGGTGCTTGCCTAGCACGCATGAAGCCCTGGGTTCGATTCTTCAGTACCACATAAACAGAAAAGGCCAGAAGTGGCACTGTGGCTCAAGTGGTAGAGCGCTGGCCTTGAGCAAAAGCTCAGGGACAGTGTGTCTAAGCCCTGAGTTCAAGCCCCAGGAAGGGGATGGAGGAAGGTGGGGAGCTGAAAACAAGCACAATTACTGCTCTGACATCAATGGTATTTATGGGGAAAGTAAGTTGGAAAATTGCCTCTATATACTTTTTGTGTGCGCTTTTTTACTCAAGGCTAATGCTCTACCACTTCAGCCCCAGCTCCACTTCTGTTTTTGGGGGGTACTTAATTGGAGATAAGAGTCTCACGGGTTTTTCCTGCCCAGGCTGACTTTGAAGCATAATCCTCAGATCTCAGCCTCCTGAGTAGCTAGGATTACAGGCCTGAGCCACCAGCGCCCAGCTTCTTTTTTCTTATAAGTGTACCAATCCTCCCAGGCACTGGAGGCACTGGTGGCTCACACCTGTAATCCTAGCTACTCAGGAGGCTGAAACTTGAGAATCGAGGTTCAAAGCCCTCCTGGGTAGAACACTCCATGAAACTCTTTTTTTTTTGGGGGGGGGGGTCCGGTCGTGGGGCCTGAACTCTGGGCCTGGGTACTGTCCCTCAGCTCTTCAGCTCAAGGCTAGTGCTCTACCACTTGAGCCACAGCACCGCTTCCGGCTTTTTTCTTTTTGCTTATGTGGTGCTGAGGAATCGAACCCAGGGCCTCAGGTATGCAAGGCAAGCACTCTACCACTGAACCACCTTCCCAGCCCTCCATGAAACTCTTATCTCCAATAAACTACTCAAAAAAAGCCAGAAGTGATGCAGTGGCTCAAGTGGTAGAGTACTACCTTGAGTAAAAGAAGATCAGGGATAGCACTCAGGCCCAGAGTTCAAGCCCTAGGTCCAGCAATACCAATCCTGTCAGATCAGAATTCCACTTGTGGCCACATTTTACCTTTATTATCATGCTAACAACCCTATCTTCAATAATAAGGTTTAGGGCTTCATTCTGTGAATTCGAGAGTACGCAATTCAATACAAAACAACTCATTGAACTTGAATTTAAAAATAGATCAGGTGCTGAATATACATTAGCCCTACCTGTATGCTTTGGAGTAACAAGTTCATTATCTTCTAGGAGCCTCAGCTCCTCTATTTGTAACAATGCTGCTCTTGATGGGATCATGGCTGGAGAACACCTTGTAACTGGAATTCTAGCCCAGAGCACCTACTCTGGGGTTTCCAGTAGGGCAAGTCTGCCCATTTGCCCTAACACATCAAATAAAGAGACAAGAAGTGAAGGGCAAGAGAAAAATGATTTATTACATGGCCTGTCCACACCATGAGAAGTGGCAAGGAAAGCACTTCAACACATCTTCACGGTATACTCATGAGTTACCCATTTACATAGACGAAAAGTTGAGGCTGGGGTGAGGTATGCATAATTCATCAGAGCAGGGCAGACAGAATGTGGCCTGCTTGACCATTATTTCACACCCCATTCTGTAAGGAGTTGCAAAGTTGTTGGCAACATTGTCACTTAAGGGGAGAAATTGGACTCTCAGGAGATGATTTTTCCTGCTCCAGGGTGCTGCCTCATCGCCCTTCCTCATGTCGAGGTAAAGCTATCCTGTGAGTTTCTGCTGTTTCTTGGGAATCATTTTGGCCCTGGACTAAAGATATTATCCATCAGTCCTGTCTTTTCTGGAATTTAAGGTAACTGTAGAAGAGAGAGACTCAAAGCAAAGTAGATACAAAATGGAGACTAGCTTTTTCTTGTTTTTATTTAATTTATGGGCCCAAGGAAGAAGTCAGTGCTATTTTTTTTTTTTTTTTTTTTGTCGGTCGTGGGGCTTGAACTCTGGGCCTGGGCGCTGTCCCTCAGCTCTTCAGCTCAAAGTGAGCGCTCTACCACTTGAGCTACAGCGCCACTTCCGATTTTCTGGTGGTTTATTGGAGATAGGAGTTTCATGGTCTCTTCTGCCCGGGCTGGCTTTGAACCGCGATCCTCAGATCTCAGCCTCCTGAGTAGCTAGGATTACAGGCGTGAGCCACCAGTGCCCGGCAGTGCTTTTTAAAAGAGTAGGTGTTGTTGCTTGCAGTTATCAGGACTTGAATTCAGGGCCTCAAACTCTCCTTTGATTTTCTTACTCCTAGCTATTGTTCTACCACTTGAGCTGTGTCTTCAGCAGCTTTTTGCTGTTTTTTGGGGGGGTCTTTTTCAAGATGGAATCTCACAGACTTTTTTACCTGGTAAACCTCCTGAATAGCTAGCATTACAGGCATATGACACTGGTGCCTGGCTAGGAAAAGCAGTTTGTAAGTATCTGTTACAACATTAATGTACCTATACAACATTAATACATTTTCACTGTTGTTCATTTTATATAATGTGATTTTAAATAAATTGTTTAATTTATGCTATATGCAAGGAATTATCATTGTCATCATCTCTACAGGAATACCTAAAAGGGAAGCTTGTTGGCAATTCCATTCCCACTACTTGCAGAAAGGGTACCAGGTGGCTCCGACACAAACAGCATGTGTGTGTGACGCAGCATGACCATCACTTCTCACAGAGGCTGCAGAACAGGCTGAGGAAGCTGTTGGTGAAATGAATGACCCCCAGGAGAAGCTGGAGGAGGCTGATGCCCAGCAGGATGGAGAAGAAGGACACATGCCAAATGACAGCCTTAGAGGGCTCCAGACAGACAGAACTCCAGAGCGAACGGTCATACAGGTAATTCCTATTCCAAAAAAAGAAGGAAGCCAGGGGTGGAAAATCAAGTAAGAAAAGCCAAACAAGCAACCCAATAGAAAGTGAGGGCTTCCAGACACCAGTGGTCCACACATGTAATCTTAGCCATTCAGGAGGCTGGGATCTAAGGATTGCTATTCAAATCCAGCTTAAGGCAGGAAAGTCCATGAGACGCTTATCTCCAATTAACTATCAAAAATCCAGAAGTGGCCCTGTGGCTCAAGTGGTAGAGTGCTAGCCTTGAACAGAAAAGCTCAGGGACAGCACTCAGGTCCTGAGTTCAGGCCCCAGGAAAGTGAAAGGGAAAGAAAGAAAGGGGGGAGGGAGGGAGGGAAGGGAAGGGAGGGAGGGAGGGAAGGAAGGGAGGGAAGGAAGGAGGAATGGAGAGAAGGAAGGAATGGAGGGAAGGAAGGAATGGAAAGAAGGAAGTAATGGAGGGAAGGAAAGAAAGAGAGAGAAAGAGAAAGAAAGAAAGGGAGGGAGGGAGGGAAGGAAGGAAGGAAGGAAGGGAAGGAAGGGAGGGAGGGAGGGAGGGAGGGAAGGAAGGAAGGAAGGGAAGGAAGGGAGGGAGGGAGGGAGGGAGGGAAGGAAGGAAGGGAGGGAAGGAAGAAAGGAATGGAGAGACGGAAGGAATGGAGGGAAGGAAGGAAGGATGGAAAGAAGGAAGTAATGGAGGGAAGGAAGGAAAGAGAGAGAAAGAAAGAAAGAAACGAAAGCTGGAAAGATGAAAGAGAGGGAAGGAAAGGAAAGGAGGGAGGGAGGGAGGGGAGGAGGGAAGAAGGGAGATTGGAGAGGCCATCCTGGCTCAGATCCCAGGATTAGGAAATTATTTTGGTCCTCAGAAGCATGAGATTCAAACATCTGTGACCAGAAGAGTTTGTAGACCATCTGTGTGCCATTTTATCTCTGAAGACTGCAAGTCCAGGTCTCCACTCACATACCTGTTATACAGGTCTTTGAAAGGGTAGCCATATTTCCAGGCTTGCGTCTGATTGAAGGACGAGACATCAAACATGCAGAAAGGACCATCTTTCAATGCTGCTCCAGAGGTGATAAAGGAAATCAAGGCTCCAAGCAAAGCCAGGACACTTGATAGCAGAGCAATGAGCATCTGCAAGGGCAAGAGGAAACAGAGCTGACACAGGCTGCGGTTAGGTGGCTTGTTGGATAATCTGGATAGGTCTAACCCTGCTTGTGACACCAGGAATTCTCCCACCCTGTCATGGAGAAGGTGGATAATTTTACTCACACCTTTTTATGTGTGTGTGTGCCAATGCTGGGGTTTGAACTCAGAGCCTGGACACTGTCCCTTAGCTTTTTTTGCTTAAGAATGGCACTCTGCCTCTTGAG